ATGACCGCGCTCAGTGGGTGGGCGGAGGGGACCAATGAAATCCATCGAGATGGACTGCCAACGACCTTCAGGTATGGGTAGGGGCTGAAGTAACCCATACGGAAGGTGGTTCGCACTGTTCACCTCCTGGCAGGTAGGACACTTCTGGATGTAGGCTTTGACAAAGTCCTTGGACTTCGGCCAGACGTATAGGCGGCAAACACGAGCCAACGTCTTGTGGAAACCCATATGTCCGACAGCTGCCTGGTCATGGAACTCTTCTACAGCCTGGACACGGAGTTGTCCGGTGGAGGGAACGCAGATACGTTGTTCTAGCTGACCAGATCTGCCATGCCAGTACACGAGGACGTTCTCCCCGAGGGAGTAGGAAGGAACGGTCTTGCCACTCCGCAGTGTCGCGTGGATGACACGATAATCGGGGCAGTGGCGGTACTGAGTGCGATACACGTCGATCACCGACTGATCAACAGTGGTGATGGAGATGATAGCAAGCTGGATGGGTTCCTGATTGTGATCAGGACGGCGGGACAAGGCATCGGCGATGCGGTTCGTTTCACCCTTGATGGGCTGAGTGGTGAAACTGAACTCGGATAAGTCACACCACCAGCGTGCCTGTCGAGGGGAAAGCTTAGGCTTCGTGAGGAAAGCCTGGACAACTGAGTTGTCCGTGCGCACCGTGAAGGGCGCCCCGTGCAGATAATGACGCCAATGCCGGGTAGCATAAACTACTACGAGAACCTCACGTTCATCGGCAGTGTAGTTTATCTCGGCAGGCAGTAGCTGACGGGAGTAGAAAGCGATTGGGCAATCCCCAGCACGAGCCTCGACAGTCCCATCCTCCGCGATGGTCGGGGAGTAAGTAACAGGAGGATTGTCAGTGGAGGGAAGTGGTGGGAGGGTAGGCGTCAATCGAGAAGCAGTGTCAGCCGGAGTGGGGGGGAAAGGAGGAACATGGGGGTAAGGTGAATCTGGAGGAGAGGAAAACATCTGAGAAAAGACAACTCCTACTGCAAAGTCTGACGCATCGGTGGTGACGATAAAGGGACGATCAAAATCGGGGAGGCGAAGAACCGGCGCACAAGTCACTGCCTTCTTGAGGGCGCAAAAGGCGTCCTCGCACATGGGTGTCCAAAACCACGGCGGGTTCTTCCGGAGGAGGGTGSAGGTAAGGACGTAGGAATACCTAGCGTATCCCTGGATAAAATTACTATAGTAGCTGGTGAGGCCTAGAAAACTGCGAAGCTGCTTGGCAGATGTGGGGACGGGCCACTCTGCAATAGCAGTGATCTTCGCGTCGTCCATGTGGCGACCCTGGTCAGACACATGGTGTCCTAGGAAGTCCGCTTTGCGCTGGGCAAAGCGGCACTTACTGAGCTTGGCATAGAAGTCATGCTTGCGTAAGCGCTGTAGCACATCGCGGAGGTGTATGAGATGGTCTTCTAAGGTACGATTGTAGACCAAGATGTCGTCCAGGTATACAAGAACGTATTCTTCAAGGACGTCCCTGAAGATGTCGTTCATCACCGTCTGGAAGGTGGCGGGGGCATTGGTGAGACCGAATGACATCACCATGAACTCGTAGTGACCGAAGCGCGACCGAAAGGCGGTCTTCGGCTGATCCTCTCTGGCAACACGGATCTGGTGGTAACCGCTACGAAGATCGATCTTCGTGAAGAAGCGGTTGCCTGCCAAACGATCAAACGGCTCATCCGCGCGAGGCATGGGATAGTTGTTCTTAACTGTGTAACGGTTAAGGCTGCGGTAGTCGATGCAGAGGTGAAGAGTTCCGTCCGCTTTGCAAGCAAAGAGGACAGATGCACCCCAAGGGGAGTTACTGGGTTTAATGAAACCCAGTCGAAGGAGTTCCTCAAGTTGACGCTTGAGTTCCGTCGCCTCTGGAATCGAGAGTCGGTACGGTGCCTGATAGTGAACACGATAGTCAGGCACGAGCTGTATAGAATGCTCAACACCGCGCATCGGGGGAATCCCGCTGTATGAGAAGTACGGGGGAAAGACGTCGCGGTACTCTCGAATCAGGTCGTGAACGGAAGGCTCTAAGTCTGCCGTGAACCGTGTGAGTTCCTCAGCGTCTGCGTCGGCACGAGACGTATATGTGGACTCGACGGTGGGCCTGGGACGTGGAGGGGTATCCGCAGGCTGGCGGGTGGATGTGGAGATGGGAGCCGCGAAGATGGAGGAAGGGTCAGGGGGATCGGGCTCCAGAGATATGAGCTCAACCTCGGGACAGAGTGGATCATAGCGAAGCAGATCCATGACGTTCACTGAGTAGAATGTGACGTCCTCCTGTCGTATGAAGTGAGCAAACTGACGAGGGGAGGTGAACGCAATGTCGGGGTGGGACCCTGAGGGACGAGGGTCCTGGGGAGGTAGGTCGGGAGGGGTGTCGCCTGTGGTTCCAATGAATGGAACGCGATGGGTCTGACCACACTTCGTTTTGAGAACGAGTGTCTCGGTCGCCCATTCGGCCTTTGTGCTGCGGAACCGGCGAGACCAGGGAGTGCCAAGGATAAAGTCGTACCCAGTCTCCAGCACGTCGAAGTATGCGGAGGAATGGAAGCGCCTAGGCGTCTGGGTACTATCCGATGGCTGGAGGGTGAGGGAGAAGTGGAGGTCGGGGACCGTCTGATCGAAGAAGCACTGTGTCTTGTTATCTCCGAGGGTAACGGAGATAGGAGAGCGAGACCCAGAGGTAGCTAGGCGAGCTTCCTCAACCACTCGAGGGTGAACGAAATCTCCCTGCGAGCCGGAGTCCCATAAAGCGTGATACACCCTTCAAGTTGTAGATGTCTCTAGGCGGATAGGGATAATGGGTAGGGTGTGATCAGGATCAGAGAGCAGACCGAGTAGACGACGGAGGACGTTAACGTGTCTCGTGAGTCGTCCTGACGAGCCTCCATAATGCTCAAGTCCAGGAGAGATGACACAACGTCATCGTGAGTCGCCAGCTGAGTGCTACAACGGGCTGTGCGAATGGCGCGACGCGTCGGAAGTCTCAGGGGAGAAGCGCTAGATGTGGCGGTCTGCGGGGAGGCAGACGGTACCTCGACAGACGACGGGGCAGAGAGAACTGCGTCTGTCGTATCCTGAGGGTCTTCTGGTGGGGTAGCCAAAGGGGCAAACCGTGACTTGGTGGTCGGGAAACCGGCTACGTGCGAGGCTTCAGGGGTACACTGCACCGTGGCTAGTTGGATGGGGCTGGCCGGGCGGGGCCGGGGGGGGACTGAGATCGGCGCTGACGAGAAATGTCAGCGTAGTACCGATCGAGGGAGGTGTGGTATGGACACCGTGAGGAGGTGTGTCCATCCTGGGGGCAACGAATGCAGCCTCGTCGGGCCTCGAGGGTGGCACGCTCCTCGGGGGATAGAGCTCCGCGAGGAGGGACAAAACCTTGCGGGAGGTCTATCTGAGGAACTGTGGGTGTGCGGGCGCAGCCTGTGCAACCCGATTGTGTGCACGACCCATGGCAGACATGGCCATCTGCAGGCGCTCGGCCATTGGGACAGTGTCGTCATCCAAGTGGTACTGGATGACGTCCCGAAGCTCGATGTCCTCGGGGGCGTCCCCAATGGTAGGATCGAGCTCGACTGAGGCGTCCTCTCCATACTCAAGAGAATTGTAGTGCCGAGCGAATGATGCTCCAGGTCGAGCCGGGCGACGAAAACGACCAGCAAACGAGGAGCGGCCTCGGGTGGTACCCCGAGACTGGGAGGTGGCGGCTGGCCGCGAAGAGGATGGGGCAACGGAGAAGCGACTGCACATCCTCTGGTACTGACGCGCAGCCTCGTATGCCTGCTCCGCGGAAGAAAATGATCGCCTCCATAGCTCTAGGCGGTAGTCAGTTGGCAGGCTGATAAGGAACCGGTCGGGGAGTGTGACCTCCGGTAGGAACGTTTCGTCACAAACAAGGCGAGCGTCCTGAAACACCCGGATGTGACGCTCCAGGTCGGCCGGTACAGAGGACCTGAACCATCTGGTCTGGGTGACGCGGTCTAAGACGTCGGAGGTGTCATGACGATCGCCGAAACGGTCCTGAAGGAAGGCCGCGAAGTCGGCCAGAGTGGGGACCTCACCCACGCGGAGGCGTTGGGTATAATGATCCTCCCACGCAGTGGAAGGGCTACCTCGCAATTTGGTTGTGAGCACATCACACCACAACTCCTGAAGGGTGGTCGTTATAGAGAGCGTGAGCGTTGCTATCTGCAACCAGCGAGAGACACGGGATGTGCCATCATACTCGGGAATGTCCGTGGTGCGCACAGGAGGATGTCCACTGTGCTGATGGCGGGGGGAGAGAGATCGAGGCGAGTGCACTGCGGCAGCGTAAGTCGAGGCCGCTGCAGGGGCAGAGGKGGGGGAAGGCTGTGGGCCGTGGCCGCTGGCGGATGGACCAGCAGACAAGGAGGCAACGGCCGCGGGCAACTGTCCCGGAATAGCCAGGTAGGAGGGAAGAGGCTGAGGAGCAGGTCGAGGGAAAYGAGCCTGCATCATGGGGACCGAAGGGGTGGCAGAGGAAGAAGGGTGGGCAGCCTGTGATGGGTGAGGCTGTCTCAGAGCGAGAATCTCCGCCTGAGCCTGCGCAATGGTGGCCTGTAAAGTGGCCACTCGCTGGGTGCGCTGGGTCGGAGGTGGACGCAATGGTGGCCTGTAAAGTGGTCACTCGCTGGGTGCGCTGGGTCGGAGGTGGAGGGGGCGGAGCAGGTCTCCCAGTGGGAGGAGGAATCCCAGCCTGGGCGGTACCTTGCTGTGGGGGCGGGGGGACGAAGGCAGGAAGAAGAGGGCGGAGCCGTATTGCCGCGACCGGTGCGGGAAGCTGGGAAGCAACACCGGTGTGGGTCGATGAAACAGCTGGGCCAGAAGGCGGTACCTGGACCGCAACACCTATGGCAGTAGTAGAGACGGTAGGGGCGGCCGTGGCCGAAAGAACTGCCGCAACGGACGGGGTGGTCTGAGCGGCAGCAACACTCGCCACCGATGAGGGGGAGTGATGGGCCTGGCCCGCAGAGGAGGGGGAACCATGGTGACTCCGTCTCCGGAGTCCTGGGGAGCTGGAATCGGAGCCGGTAGGGTAAGGGGTGTGAGAGCGGTGGGGAGAGCGATGAGGGGAGCCCTTGAGGCGGTTGGCGTCGAGGGCTAGCGCATTGATTTGTGCTTGCAACGGTCCAAGCGTACTAAGTTGTGCCCGAATTCCTATAAGGACGGCATGAAGGTCCATGGTGTCCGCATGGGCCTGATCATGAGCCGCTGACGGCGCGATGACCAAGGATGTGGACTGCGCCGCGACGATCTCCTCGGATGAACTCCCTTCCATGGCCAGAAGGGGAATGGAGGTAGTCCTCAGAGGAGTGTGTGGGAAAGGGGCCCACCGGTAAGAGGAAGGGGACCAGGGAGCGGAGTGAGTATGTGTGAGTCGGCTCGCCTCGAATTTTGCGGGTCGCGCGTGAGACGAAGGCGTCGAACCGCTCGAGGGGGGAGGAGCCGTCCACGTCCAGGGTGCCCGACGGGAGGAGCCGCGAGAGTAAGAAGGGGGGGGGGCGTTAGGAGAACCCTAAACCCTAGAAAACCTTAAGAAAACCCTAACCGGAGTTTAGGTGGTTAGGGGAGGGTAGTGGCGACCTAATCAAGAAAAAAGATAATATGGAGGGGAGGGGGAAATAAAATAGAATAAACAATAAAATTTCGAGATAAAAATAAAATAAAAGAATAAATAAAAATAAATAAATAAATAAAATGTAAAGAGCGAGGGAAGAGGACTTATTTATTTTTTGAAAATTTTGGAACGAAGAAAATTTAAATAAAAAAAAAAGAGAAAAGAAGAAAAACAGAAAAAATCGAAGGGGGGGGGGGGGGGGGATGAAAAAGTGGTGAAAAAAAGAGAAAAATAGGTGGGAAAGAGAAAAGATTGAAGTGGTAGGTGAGGGAGATGATGGGGTTGTAGTTGGGGGAAGAAAGGAGGTGAGGAGGGTGAGAGAATGAGAAAGAAAACTATGGAAAAGGTGAAGAAAAGAGTGAGAGATTAGTAAAAGAAGGTGAGTGGAGAGAGAGGAGAGAAAAAGATGGTGGGAGATGAGTGAAGAGGGAAGGGTATGAGAGATTAAGGGGAAGGAGAGGAGAGAAGTAGGGAAAAGAAGCAAGGAGAGTGAGGTTGGGAGAGGAGAGAGTAAAAATATGGTAGTAGATGGAGAAAGAGTGAAGGGGATGAGAGATTAGTGGGGAGAAGAGGAGAGAAATGA